GGGCGGGCTCCCGGCGCTGGCTGCTGGGCTGCGCGGCTGCGCAGTACTGCCGCCTCTGTCGCCGTGGTGAGAGGAGTGGAAACGATGGCTGGGTCCGCGTGGATATCCAAGGTGAGCGCCTGGCAGGCCGGCTTGTGACTGGTGGGCGAGCCGCGTGCTGGGCGGGGGCAGGCGCGCGGCCCCAGACGGGGAGGCGGCGGCGCGCGGCCGGCTGGGGACAGTTAGGAAACCTGTCCTGGCCGCCTGTGCGCCTCGCTCCGTGGCCCGCGTGCGGTATGTAGGCAGCCTCGCTCTCGGAAGGTAGTGCCTGGGGCGGGGACGGCATCAAGGTCAAGGCAGGGGGCGCAGTTCCTGCTCCGGGCAGCATCCCGGTTCTTCCGCCGGCATCTGCCCCGGCCGGAGCCCAGGCCGCGCGCGGAACCCGGGAAGGTCACCGGAGCCGCCGCCCCGGCTCCGCCATTCCGGCGGCTTCCGAGGCTGCGGCCCTGCAGCCTGCTGATCGCGCGGAGAGTCCCCTCCAGCACGGCCCAGGTCTCCCCCAGGTGTCTGCTCCGGCCCGGGCCGGGTAACCTCCCAGGTGAGGGAATCCCGAAGTCATTTTCTTGCCAGACTTTTTCTCCCTTAGAGCTCTTACCAATCCGATCGTGTAGCTATTTCCCCTTCAAAGGACACAGGGTACCTTGCACCTTGGAATTGCTATCTGAACACTGGGAGACTGAGAGAGGGATACCAGCAACACCTTTCTTTCACCTTTTATTTGTGAGAATCCTGCGTTCTCACCTTGACAGCTCAGATGCCTGCCGCAGCTGGATAGGGTTTCTGACCATCTCTGCAATTATTTGGTTCCTCAGTGGAACTAACTGTGCCTGAAAACGTAATTGCTCAAGATCACACAGAAAGTCCGTGTCAGAACTGGAAGAGGAACCCAGATGTCTCGGGATTCCCAGTTCTAAGTCCCATTCTGCCTACTCTGTGGCCAAGGTCACACAACGAATTATAGGCAGAGGGAAAAATGGGCCCTCAGGTTTCCCGTTGCTCTTAAAGAATGATCCCCTAGAAACCTACCATAAGCAATTTAATTTTTTTCTATAAAATTTGATACTGTATTTCTTCTTTGTTTTAAGTTTAAAGCGAGGTTCCGCATGCACTGTTACTTAGTGAAAAGCAGTCTACACTGGAGTTTAGGAGTCTTAGGTTTAAGTATTGGCAGTACCATTGATTGGCTGCGTGACCCTGAGCAAATTACTTAACATCTCTGAGCCTTAATAAGCCATCTGTAAAATATCTATACTTGCTTCACAGAGTTGTTTGAGGATTGAAAAAAATAATGTGAGAGCACGTAATACATGCAGAAGGAACACAAAAACCTGAAGCTTTCCTTGCTGTCAATGTACTTATCTTACAGCCTTCAAGCAGACAATTGGGTATCAGTAGCTAGGTTTTATTTAGTAACTGGGTTCTGCTTTGTTACCCTCTTCAGACCTGGATTTGTGTATGATGGTAATTTATTTCACATTGGCTCCTGAATGTAAAGCAACTTCTGTGTCATTGTCTAAACAGAAGTCAATCCTTTAATCACTGAGCTTACACTTAACATCCAGTCATCTTTGGTAGGTACATTAAGCTTCAGAATGAGGGACTAAATAAAACAGCTAGTAAATTTGTTTTGCCTTTAGCGTGGTCTACAAGAAAAAAGCCACATAGTAGGAATTCAGAAAGTGTCAGAGGAAGAGGTTCTCCTCTGACATGGAATGGACTCCCCGTGTGACCTTTGGCAGTCATTTGACCTCCGTGGGCCAGTTTCTCCCTTTAGGGACTGGGATAGACAGTGTCTCGGAAGCTGACGTCCCAGAATTATGAGAAAGCTGAGCTGGATGTGAGTTTCAATCAGAACAAGTCCTCTATTAGCATTCCATTTAAGGTTTTATTTGAAAAAAAGAGATCTGCAGCTTAAATTAATTTTTTTCTAAAAAAGCTTTATTTAGAAAAAATAGTGAGTTTCTAAAGACCTTTCTGGCTCTAAAATACTATAATTATAACGAGGCAGTTCCCCCATCAGGAAGCTTTTATTGAGTGAGTACCTGCCATGCATTCTACACTGTATTTATATGTTTTTGAGTTGGAGGATGAAGGTTAAAAAGGAAATGAGGTGCTATGGATGAAGATGGCCCAGGAAGTCAGAAGTTCAGTCCATATTCTGTGAGCCTGGCCTTAGTCTCCTAATCTAACAAGGGCTACTAATACAATCTCTCCAGGTTTTCTTAAAACAAAATGATGTAGTATATGTACAAGTATACTATAAAGTAGAAGTTAGCCTGTGCTTTAAAAATTCTTGTCTTAAAAGTTCCGGGTCATTCTAATGATTTAGATGCAATGCTAACTTATTCTAAGATCACGAAGGAGAGATGACAAAGATGAAGACTGGTTGTTAGAGAAAATCATTGCAAGTATTAAAGCCATTTGCTGGAGTGGGAACTCATCAAATAGAGAGATGCTTGAGGCTGGCCTCAGTTTTTCCAAAAGTATTCTGAGCACCTACTGTGAGCTAGGCACTGTTCTAGGTACTAGAGATAGAACAGTGAACAAAACATGAAAATCTTTGCCTCATGGATTTACATTTTAAATCAGTTATTTTGGTTGGGTCTTTTATCACAAAGACATGGGCCGTTTTTTGTTTTAATTGGAATGTAGCTGATTTACAGTGTTGTGTTAGTTTCAGGTGTACGGCAAAGTGAATCAGTTATACATATACATATAGCCCCCCCCTTTTTGTTTTAGATTCTTTTCCCATGTAGGCCATTACAGAGTATTGAGTAGTGTTCTCTGTGCTATACAGCAGGTTCTTATTAGTTATCTATTTTATATATAGTAGTGTATATATGTCAGTCCCAATCTTGACATGGGCCTGTTTTTTTTTTTTAATTAATTAATTTATTTTGGCTGCACCAGGTCTTAGTTGCAGCACATGGGATCTTCGTTCGGGCACGCGGACTTCTTAGTTGTGGCATGCAGACTCTTAGTTGTGGCATGCATGCGTTATCTAGTTCCTGACCAGGGAATCAAACCCAGGCCCCTTGCATTGGGAACGCGGAGTGTTACTCACTGGACCACCAGGGAAGTCCTGACATGGGCCTGTGTTTTTTTTTTTTGCGGTACGTGGACCTCTCACTGTTGTGGCCTCTCCCGTTGCGGAGCACAGGCTCCGGACACGCAGGCCCAGCGGCCATGGCTCACGGGCCCAGCCTCTCTGTGGCATGTGGGATCTTCCCAGACCAGGTCATGAACCCGTGTCCCCTGCAGCGACAGGCGGACTCTCAATCACTGTGCCACCAGGGAAGCCCATGGGCCTGTTTCGAGTGAATGTTTTTTCTTTCTTTCTGGGGGGTGGGGAGAAGGACTCATGCAAATTTTATAGCGTAGCCTTTAAATGGTGTCCTTTCCAATAGCCCATTTGCTGGTGGATGAATCATGTCCTAGGATTAAGTGTTTGGCCAGTGGTTTTGGCATAGCATATTCTTTTGGGTCTCACCCTGTCTTTTATTGTCAGTCCAGAGAGATGACTGTAGATGCCAGGTTAGAGGATACAATTCGTTCACAGCTGCTTGGCTCTTGGTTGGTGTCTCTTTAGTGGGTGCTGATATTACAGCAAAGGTTCAGGACTTACAAGAACTGTCCCCCAAAAGGAAGACTAAGGATATAACAAATGTATCTTTGCTCGTGTATCTAGCATGAAAAAAAGTTAACATTTAGAATTTTTAATGAATTACTATTTATTTATTAAATAATTTTATTTATTTTTGGTTGTGTTGGGTCTTCATTGCTGTGTGCGGGCTTTCTCTAGTTGCGGCGAGTGGGGCTTAGTTGCAGTGCGCGGGCTTCTCATTACGGTGGGCTTCTCTTGTTGCGGAGCATGGGCTCTAGGCATGCGGGCTTCAGTAGTTGTGGCATGCAGGCTCTAGAGTGCAGGCTCAGTAGTTGTGGTGCATGGACTTAGTTGCTCCGCAGCATGTGTGATCTTTCCAGACCACAGATCGAACCTGTGTCCCCTGCATTGGCAGGTGGATTCTTATCCACTGCACCACCAGGGAAGTCACTAAAACTTTTAATGAATTTTAATACCTTTGGTTTTTGTACCCAATTTCTTTGATTATATTCTGTTTATTATAATGTAATATGACTTTGTACCAGTTTTCAAGGACTGAATTATTAAAGTTCAAAATAACCTTTCAAAATTTATATTTCTGGTGTGTCATAGTGTTTAAGTGGAAAAAAAATGTACCGGTGGTAACGTCTTGGGGTAGTGGGATTAGTAGGTCACATTTCTTTTCTTTTTTTGTATCTTTCCCCTCTCCCAGCAATTAACAATAATGACCATGTCACATATTATCAGAAAAAGTAGATAATTTATTTAAAATCTTCACTCTGTATGACACAGGTGTCAAAATAGTATTAAATAAACTGTTAGATTTTTATTATACAGTGTAATTTCTTAATATTCATGGGAGAAGAATAGGCATAATGTATAATTGGAGGAGCCCTGAACTAAGAGTCAGGAGACCCAGACTGTGGTCTCCTTGTGGTCACTCTGTGACCTTAGGCAAATCCCTACTCTTTGGACCCACTGTCTCCACTGTATAATGAGTGAGTTGGGCTCTGGGATTTATAAGGACCCTGCTGGCTCTTAAAATTAGTGATAGTTTTCTTAGAGTGTGTGTTACCCCCAGATTGACCCAGTTGTCAAGAATGTTGACATTAAACTGTCCAGATCATCTGAGAAAAATCCAGCGTTTGAGCTAAGAAAGTAGAGTTTCATTCTAGCTTCAATGTCTTTTGACAACTTTTCATAAAATTGACTTTAAAAGTACATATATAGTACTTACATTCTCAAAGCAAAGGTAAACTGAATATTTCAGTTTTCAAATCCGAAAGAGCTTGCTACATTGAGCTAATACGTGAGAAAAATAATCCTCGGAAATTCCTGAATATATCTGTGCAAAGTTGCAGCATTATCAGCTGTCAGAGATGGTTCCATCTCTACCTTTTAACTATATGTGGTTTAATTCTGTATGTAACATTTCTTTGTTGATATTAAATGTAGGTCTCTCGGCTGCTGGGGGCATTCCACAACCAAAAACAGGTGACCAGAGGTTTTGCTGGTGGTGTGAGTATAATTACGTCTTTTATTTTTTCCTTTTAGAAGTTTCTCAAGAAAGATGCTTAGGCACATTATGTAGCATTTAATCTTCACTTATTTAAAATTAGGGAAAATTGGCCATACTTATACTGTATATTTAAATTATTGGTGAACATGCATAAATCCATTAGGTTACTTGCACATTAAAAAAAAAATTGTATTATAGCTGGTGCTGTAAGCCTATCACATTAATATCTTGAAGGAGGCTTGTTAAAAATAGTTATAAAATAGAATTTTAAAAAACAGATATTATCTAAAGATAGCAACTACCCTTGAGCCTGTTACTTCATTTCACAATCTCATTTGGATAAGACGTTTTTTTTCCAAACTCGTATAGGTTGAGACAAAATTGTTGAGAAGCTTCAAAACCTGCTTTACATTTTTATTTTGTGAGCTTCCCTGAAAACAGTAGATTGATCGCCAATCAGGAATG